TATTTATATTTTGTGTTTTAATCATAAACCTTCATTGACTGATAATAATGAGAAGGAGATTATTGCTGACAGTTTGTCTTCAAGCACTTCAGTTCAGTTACCTCCCCCATACTTTTATTAGCATTTAAAGCCATATTAGTGCTTTAATTTATATGTGGCCAAACAGTTGAATGACCATATATCAGCAATCTGGACTAGACTAGTAAAAATCAGTGTGTTTCCTTTTCTGTAAGACCATCTACTTTATATGGTGAAGGATGGAGGAGTAGACTGTGTTAAATTTGATTTTAGTAATAATGTGTGTTGTCAGATGTAATGCATTGTAGTTGTTAGTTAAGGTTACCAAATGTGAATGCACTAAATGTAAACATGCCGAATCCAAGGCATTACTGTAATCAGTATTGTGGAAATTAATATAATTGCTTACATTTAATGGGTTGAATTAAGAATTTTAAAATTGTGTTTCTTCTACACTGGGATGCTTGTTGCAGAAGATGGATATTAAGTAAGGAAAATGTGAACATATATATTTATATAGATATATTGTGTTTTTTGAAAATGTATATTTAAGAAATGATTTATCAACAGAGATGAATTTGAGCTGAGCACATTGTGGCATGAGCTGATTGTGTCGTCCACTATTGGTGCTGCCTGGCTGGCAGCATTGGTTGCTGGTCCTGCAACAGGTTAGTTTTAAATTCCTACATCTAAAGATAAAACTTAAGAGACTATAAATTTTAAGTTAGCATAAGTCTTGCAAATGATCATATATCTAAACAACACTCAACACCTCATACTTTGCAGAGCAGGATGTATTCCATACTAACTTTTGATGTAAGGCTTTGTTGCTTTTTAAATCTTGAAAATTTGCATTTCTTTTTAATTTTCACTATTTTAGGCAATATGGAGCATAGTGAAAATACCCATTTTTTGCAACCATTAACCATTTTGCTCAGTTTACTCACATCATTTTCCTGATGAATTACAATGCATGATAGGTAATTTATTCTTCATAGTATTGTAAGCAAGAACAGACACCACAGTCCAGGTTCTGACTCAGATACTCTATAATACTCCTCTAAATTAGTTTATGGTTATTGTACCTCTGTCTTCCCCCACATGCTTTCATACATATCTAATTTATTTTTCTTGTTGAACCCAGCCATGATGTGAATTACTTGATGAGGAGCAATTAATGGAGCTATAATAGTTATCCAGTTTTTCATTCATGAACTTCCAACTGCTTTCTTCTGATGGCATATGTTGTATTTATAACCTGTGAATGACATCACTAATAAATAGGGCTGTGATACTGTACACAAAGGTAGGCTGTTTAGCAATTTAACAATGGGTAATTTTTAAAGGGTTCTTTAATATGCAACTTTATGCAGTCATTAGTCAATATTCTAATTTGTATTTGCATAATTATCATTTGAATTTTCATTCATAGAGTTTATGTGCAAAATATAAACTGTTGAATAGGTCACATAGATTTTGTTAGCTACATATTTTGAAGAGTAAAGATTAGGATTTGTCATATTTCAACAGGTTGCAAAATATTTTCAATCAAATGCATGCATTATATATAATTTAATGCACAGTAATGGAAAGAAAGAAAGTGGTAATTTCTGTTGCTTGATTTCAGTATGAATAGACAAAAACTCAAAGTGGCATAAGCCTTCTGCTGAAAATGGGCTAAAAGTGCAGATCTTGTTGTGATATGAGCTCTTGATGACATCATCAACTTACATCCACACCCATTAGTACTGTCATTGTAGAAGTGGGTATAAAATTCAGGGAAATAGGAAGTGCAATTTATACCATGAACAGCTTATACTCCCAATAGTAGATCTAATTTTGACTTATTATACTTCATCCCATATTCTTTGATTTAACCAGCTATAACTTGCTAAGCTACTGCTGACCCAACTATCTCTGGTCTCCCTTTGATCTGTTGAACTATAGTTGACCCCCCATTTTGCACAGCCCAGTAGAGACCTCCCTAAAATAAATTGCATCTTCGGGGGAAATCTCTCTTGTGGCTTTATTATGAGATTACCATAATAATAATTTTACTTTTATTCAAACTTTTAAACCAATAAGCCTGGATTAACCATTTAAGCAATATATACTTGCACTTATTGCACAAGGGGAAATTGGCATTGCAGAGTATACATAGCATAACTGTTGGCATAGAATTTCAAGGAAAAGTAAAGAGAATTATTTGTTATTTATTAGTCTTTTATTTGATAATAATCAATCAGTACCATTTCAGATATGCAAAAGAGATACTGTTGAAATATGTGTGTGTGTGTGTGTGTGTGTGTGTGTGTGTGTGTGTGTGTGTGTGTGTGTGTGTGTGTGTGTGTGTGTGTGTGTGTGTGTGTGTGTGTGTATGTGTGTGTGTGTGTGTGTGTGTGTGTTGATCATGCGAATCATAATTTATAGACTGAGAATGATCAGTAACTGCATTTGGATTTCTGATGAGTATATATATGTATGCTCAATAAAACTTCTGATCTGAGCAAAGTTTATTGAGCATAGCCTTTTGGAAACTGACATCCAGTTGTCATCCATTTGAAATCTGCATCTCTGCTAATTTTTCCATTTACTTAATTCTGACACTTGGAACTTATTTTTCAAATGTGTCAAGTAGTGACTTCGGTATTTAAGTGGCCACTCTTGTTTTTCAGAAAAAAGGTTAAGAGAAATTTTTAAAGTAAACGATTGCATCTTCCTTATAATTATTATTTTGGTACTCTGACTGTCACAAACAAGAATGCCAAACATCATATGTTATTGTTGTTTTTGTTATAATAATTATTACTATTATCATCATCATCATTATTATTATTATTATTATTATTATTATTATTATTATTATTATCATTATCATTATAATCATTGTCATTATTATTAGTATTATCATTATCATTACCATTATCATTATCATTATCATTATTCTTATTGTTATCATTATTATTATAATTATCATTGTTGTTATTGTTATCACTCTTATTGTTATTATTGTTATTATTATTATTATTATTATTATTATTATTATTATTATTATTATTATTATCATCATTATCATCATTATCATTACCATTATCATTATCATTATTCTTATCATTATCATTATCATTATTACTATGATTATCATTGTTGTTATTGTTATCACTATTATTATTATTATTGTTTTTATTATTATTATTATTATTATTATTATTATTATTATTATTATTATTATTGTTTTTATTATTATAACATTATCATCATGATTATTATTGTTGTTGCTAATGTTATAATAATAATTATAATAATAATGGTAATAGTGACAGTAATGATAATAATGATCATAGTAATTATTATTATTATTATTGTTTTTATTATCATTAAAGAAAAATAATTTATTTATTCATTTACAAACAAGAATGCCAAACATCATATATTATTGTTGTTTTTGTTATTATTATAATAATTATTACTATTATCATCATCATCATTATTATTATTATTATTATTATTATTATTATTATTATTATCATTATTATTATAATCTTTGTCATTATTATTAATATTATCATTATCATTACCATTATCATTATTCTTATCATTATCATTGTTATTATAATCATTGTCATTATTATTAATATTATCATTATCATTACCATTAACATTATCATTATTCTTATCGATATCATTATTATTATAATTATCATTGTTGTTATTGTTATCACTATTATTATTATTATTGTTATTATTATTATTATTATTATTATTATTATTATTATTGTTATTATTATTTTTATTATTATTATTATTATTATTATTATTATCATCATTATCATTACCATTACCATTAACATTATCATTATTCTTATCGATATCATTATTATTATAATTATCATTGTTGTTATTGTTATCACTATTATTATTATTATTGTTTTTATTATTATTATTATTATTAATATTGTTATTATTATTATTATTATTATTATTATTATTATTATTATTATTTTTATTGTTATTGTTATTATTATTATAACATTATCATCATGATTATTATTGTTGTTGCTAATATTATAATAATTATTAATGATAATGGTAATAGTGACAGTAATAATAATAATGATCATAGTAATTATTATTATTATTATTTTTATTATCATAAAAAAATATAATTTATTTATTAATTTATTTTTTATTATTGTTAATGTTATTAATATTAATAATATTATTAGTATTGCTATTATTATTATTGGCATTGTTGTTATTTTTCTTAATAATTAGTTTATATTTTTGTTGTTATTATTGCTATTGATACCACCATTATTATTATTGATAGCATTATTTTCATTATTAGTAGTATCATTCTCATTATTGTTTTTAGTGGGTGAGTGGGCATCATGCTGAATCAGGGAGAGAAAAAGACAAGTTATTTATATGATTGTATTCAAGACTTAATTTAAAACTTGATTTATGTATAATTTGTTAATCTAGCAATTGGTGCAGAATTCAAAACCTGCACATATTAATCTTATATTATCTGTCACCTTTTTGAGCAGATAATAATATGTTTCTGAATTTGATGATATTCATGAATTTCATCAGAATTTTGGATTAGAAGTTATTAGTTAAAAACTTTTAGTTTTCCATGAGCTGGATGCAGCATTGGTTTTAGAAACAAATCAGCTGATGAGTGCTTAAAGCTTGTGATTAGTTGAGATTCCCAAGAGCATCTAAAAAAGGAGCTGTGACTGGCCATTGAGGAATTGATACCATAAATGCATGCCACAGGGACTCAAAAACAAATATTCTAAAATCCCACATAAGCAAGTAGACAGTCATGTTAAACCTTCCATGTCACAAGCACGGTAGAATATAATAATGTTCATCCTTTTACAATATTGGAGTATTTATTTCTCATGATTGTCATAATCATACCTTAGTTATATATTTTGTTATTACTGATGCTCATGTATATTGCTTTATTATCTTTATAATTGGGTATGAAGAAAGGATATTAAAACTATCCTATTCAGCCTAAAACACATGTATAAGAGCGAGAGAGAAGCTACACTCTCACGCTCACTCAGTAATACCCTTATGGATCAGTTTGAATAGTGAACTAGAGCATTATTCATATTATTAAAATGGTGGCATATGACTGTGTTTCGTTACCCATTCCAACATGTGTATCTATTCTAGGTGCATTTGATACATTCTTGAATGTGAACTAAGTATATAGAAAAAACAAGTAAGAAAGTTTTAGTCTAATCAAAGTACTATTACTTGAAAAAAACTGTTCCTTGTTAACTAAGTAATTATGATTATATAAGAAAATGGTGGAATGGTTACAGCCTAATGTCATAAAATACTATCAGAGTATATAAATCTCTTGGCTACTCTGAGGTCTGTGATGCAAGCATTTACTTACTGAGCAGGTTTTCCTAGCAGACCCTGAGAGTGCTGGATCTTGGTCAGGAACTCTCTAGGTTCAAGGGCTTCCCACTCTGCTAAATGTATTGAGAGCTGCTATCAGGATCTGCAGAGACTCAGACAGGATAGCAACATTACTGGCAGGCTCGAGGTCAGTGACCTTACTACTACACAGTATTGTGCCACATTGATTTTGCATGACAGCATCTGTGGATGACAACAGCTGTTCTATATAAGCATTTAAAAGTGTTAGTGGCCCATTCTTGAATACACAAGAAGTAAGCTTGACATTCCCCCACCACAGTTACTAAAAAAGTATTAATAGACTGGCATACTATTTGTCTTATAATTTTTGTCAGAATTCTTTTGAGTCTAAGGATATCCTGGAGCTGAGTGCCTTTTTAATGTAAGTGAAGGTTAAAAACTCACAATGGTGATCTACAGGTATACTGGGCAGTATAATGCCATGATGACTGCTGAAAGTCCAGCAATCCTCTTTTCCCTTTTAAAGGGGAATGACCATTCCCTTCATCAGGTCTGTGGAATGATACCAGACTTCCAGATGGCAGCCAGGTTAGACCCAACGCTGAATTCAGCAATTCAACAGAGATGCTTCAAATGCCCAGTTTTCCTTTGAGATTTCCTCCCAAATCTCAGTCAGGATAAAAGAATCTTTCCTTAGTTGAGGATCAAACACTAACTACCACAATGCCCACATCCATGCTAACTGTCAACAACCTAAATTGAAATAACTGCTTGAAAAATCATCCCATGACTCATACCACTTCAGGACCTGAGATGATTTGTTAAATTAGTAAGGAAGCTGCAGCCACCTGTGGGGATGGCTTGGCATTCAGTTTCTTTAGGTGGAAGGGAGAAAGTCAGATGCTAAAAATTATCATTCAACCTTCTCAGCATTATTCCAGTGTGTTTTTTCCTAGGCTCTCCTTCAAAGTGTCTGAGTCCCTTGCATTAGAGGTTAATGTAATTCCTAATCTCCAGTTAGTTGAGCTGGGCAGCATATGTCTATGGTTTCTAGTGTCTCCTAAGAGATAAAGTTCACAGGTGTTCACCAACAGATTTTGACCTGTCTTGAGCAAATCACATTTGATGATGTCCCACAGTGCTGTCAAGCACTTTGAACTGATAAGAGATAGCCACAGCAAATTCCTCAGCACAATCCTCCTCTCAATTTATGCATGACAAACACTTTGGGATGATCACTGGGCAGATGGGAAGTTCTGAAGTGAATCTGGAGAATAGCTATGGCCATTCACTAACACAGAACTCCCAACTCCAGAAAACCCTTCAAAGATGTGATCACTTTTTTGGCTACATTGCTGAACCTGGTACCAGCTTCTGAATTCCTCAATTTATCCAGAAAGTGCAAGGTACCTAGTTGAGGTGGATAGCCACAAAGAGTCACTGCAGGATATCTTGATGGAGAAGTTACTTACTGGCAGAGGAGACTTATGGTTAACAGCCTCCTTTTTGTTCCAGGCTAGATAGTTGTGAGAGCTGGAAGTGAAGGCAAACACTTAACACTGACCTAAACTAACCGCATGTAATTTATATTACCTGAGCATGAAGCATGCACCCATACTTGTAAGTTTTATGACCAGTATAAGGTGTTAAGAAAAAATGATAATACCATCTGCCTGATATGTGAAGATTAACCTTAACTTTGATGTTTTGCTTTTTGGTATGGATTGGGAAATGGCAATAAAATTTACTCTTTCTGGTATCAGAAATGAAACTCTTAAAATGATGAAGACAAAGATTTATCATTGTACGATTTAAATGTGATTAACAGTATCATTTTCATTATGCAACAATGTTTCCTTTGCTATCATTTGGTAATACCCATTAAAGAAATTAATTAAATCTGATAAATAATTTTGACAGAGATCACCCTTTAATTGTGCCAAGCTCCTGTGCTAAATGTGAAACCCACAAAAATGCAGGAAACTATGATGACATCAAAGAAAGTGTTTGGCTGATATTGCAATTGTGAATGATGCAAAATCAACACATACTTTCTCAGATATGCTTAACTAT